CTGTTCTGGGTCTGGAGATGATTGATATGTGGGGTTTAACGTCCCAAAACCACCATATGATTATGAGAGACACCGTTTTGAAGGGCTCCGGAAATTTCGACCACCTGGGCTTCTTTAACGTTCACCCAAACCTCAGCACATGGGCCTACAACATTTCCGCCTCCATCGGAAATGCAGCCACCGCAGCCGGGATACGAACCAGCGACTTGCGGGTCAGCAGCCGAGTACCTTAGCCACTAGACCACCGCGGCGGAGCTGGGTCGGAACATGTCCGTCCATGTACAGTGAGGCGAGATCGAAGACGAGTATGCGTGAAATGTTTGAAATTCGAAAGCGAAGCGTGCCTTTGGCAAGCCCAGCAGTCAACAGAAAACTGTTCAATGGTATGTTAAGTCCCAGCTAATTAGTATAGTCAAAATTAAGACGGAGCTGATTTCCCTTCCAAACAGACCAAGTGGCACTGATTCGAAAAGCAAGAAGAAGCTAGTGATCACAAGCTTCCTTTATTACTCAAGCTTCGCTCAAGTAGCTGACGAACTTGTTCCAGCAAGGGTGGCTTGTTGGCCTTGTTAGTATAGCGTGGTCTGTTTCTTTTTAACGTGATAACGTTTGAGAGCTCGTGTCCAGAAATTCTGCCGTCAGCGTCGGCACCACCAGTTGTGAGCGAAAAATCTTCCTTGAGCAAAAAAATGAGAAAGAATCAATTAAAACAAAGAATAATATTTTTGGTTCTAGTCAGGATCAAATCGGGGCCGTTCGCGTAGCAAGCAGATGTCCTACCACAAAGCCACGATGTTACTTCCAGCTGCTTCGGGGAAAAAAACTACATAAATGCCATTTACTGGAAGGATTCTTCTTAACGCATTTTGTTCGCCAAGTGTCACAACGAGAATGAGCCGATTCAGCGATGTGTAGGCGCATTTGAGAGGCCGTCAAACTACGTCGAAAATGGGCGGTATGCTGCAGGCATTGCCACTAAAAACACGCAGGAACTTTCAAACAGCTCTAAAATTGGACAACTATGTCCATCTAGCAGAAAACATATCATGCATTTCCAGAGGCGTAGAAGAGGCGTTAAGTTGATCAAGCAAAGGGCAAGCGCTACTTAATATGCTTCTATCTGTGAGGCATTGTGAGACTCTTTATGGCAGAGGTGAGTGGCCACACTGCATAGTCACTGCATTACTATAGATAGGCCAGCTTGCGCGCGTGAGTTTGTGTGTGTGTGTGATTGCGTGTATGTGTGTTTATAAAAAAAAACGGAAGCTGTTGAAAGGCGCACTAAGGGCTGCATTTTGCTATCGCAATAAACCCTTATAGGCGTAGCTTAAGGGTCTCCTCATGTTTCCGAGTGCAATTACTTTTATGCTTGTTTACGTGGAATATAGCACTAACTTTTTAAATAATGATCACCATGTTTTGTTTGTTCATCAGCTGTCTCTCCAACAATAATTTGACCATCAAGTATAAGGTGTCGGTCGCTGAAATCATGCTAAAGAAAACCTTCAGGTCGCGAACAAAGCACCAAAATCGCTATGAATGGCCGGAAGAATCATGCCCTACTTACAAACGATTTCCCACAATAAAAAACAATTGTCCGCTAGAAAAAAATATCAGCGTCGTTTTCACGAATCCGAAGAAGCTGGGAAGAATATGCAGGCTGAACAACCCAAGTGCTCGCAAAACACGTGGCTGTGTTTAAAATTACAGAGCATGCCACGTGCAATGCAAGGAAGCGGTCGCGTACCAGCTTATTCTATCATGGGAAAAAATTATACCTGGGGCAGACAAGTTAGTGCCTCAACGACAGGCATAGGGAGCCCAAAACAATGTTAAGGAACCAGGGGACGGTCCGTTATCTGCGTATTGCAGCACATGTACGTGTTTACCTGTGTTTGATGGTCGAAGTGTTCAGTTATTCGCAGGCACAATGAAGAAACCAGGTGATTTATTATTGAACCAGCTACTATACACAAGCTAGGCCCAGAATGTGTCAGCGTCAGATCTTTATCTTTACCCAGGAAAGAATTGTCATTTATACGCGTGCCACATTTGCGTATGCTTGAGGGTCCACTTTTTCATGTATACATTCCGTAATCCAGCTTTCAATGAAGCATCGTTGAAAATTAGCCTCTGCGTGTGTCCTCTCTGTCTCGTCCTCCTCAATTCAGTGCAGTGCTTACCTTTAAAAGTATAAAAAATTTATTTTATTTGCAAAGAAGCTGCTGCTTAGAGTTCATAACATGAAGAACTTGACAGTCACAGTCATGTGCTCAACGCGGCCTCTTCAGAATCAACAACTTTGTTTGTACCCGAGTACACGCGTTCAGTAGTTTGACTGTCGCGGCCAAGATCGCGTCCACTCACCAAGTTTGCTCTTGCCGAGGATAGCAACGCGGCTTTGTTGGTCTCTTATTCTTCCTAAGTATGAGCGCCAATGAAAAAGTTTGCAGCATATCCACGGAGTGAATGATGGAGAGTGGAGGAAAGCATTTGTCCGTCCAGTCGTTCTTGCTTCCGTTCGTTCATGCGTCCGTCTGTGTGACCGTCCATGCGTCCATCCGCCCGTCCGTGCGTGCGTCTGCTCGTGCGTCCGTCCCTGAGTTCGTCCATGCATCCGACCCTGCGTCCGTTCATGCGTCCATCCATGCGTCTGTCTGTGTGTCTGTTCGTCTATGTATTCAACACTCCAAGTACCACCATCTCGCATCTTTTCATCATATATTGGATGGATGGATGCTATGAGCGTCCCCTTTATAACGGGGTGGTGACAAGTATGCCACCAGGCTCGACAAAAAAAAAACCCTTTTTTGCTTTTTTTTATGTTGGCCTAATGCCTCTACTTCGATAAATTCTATCTTAATGGAAAAAAAGGTAAATTTTCAGCTTAAGTTCGCTGCCATTTGCGGCACACTGTCCATATTTTATTTTTCCAATATTTATTTTTGTCCTTTCTCTCTAATTTTCTGCCACCAATACTCTAACCGTTTCTTACTTATTTCAATCGCGTCTCTTACTCTAACCGTCTCTTACTTATTTCAATATATTCCCCATATAGAAGCACCACCATCCAGCGGACAGTCCAAGAACTAAACGAGAAGTGGCCCACGCACGCTTTCTTACGGCTTGCGCTTCGGGTCTACTTCCCACCTTTAACCACCTCGATTTCATGGTATATACTAGTTCACTGTATTCATGGCACTTCGGCCCAACGCTGGCTAAACCTTTCTAAAACCAAGGAGGTTACGCCCAGCGAGTATAACGTAGCAACCTTTTCCTGTCAGATAGTGCTCAATGTACATGCCAATGGCTGTTAATGAGAAATGAGAGACAGGAGAATTCAGCTTTTACTTTCTTACGGCTTGCGCTTCGTATCTACTTTCCACCTTTAACCACCTCGAGTTCATTCATTGTATATACTAGTTCATTGTATTCTTGGCACTGCGAATCATCGCTCGCTAAACCCTTCTAGAACTAAGGAGGTTACACCCTGCGAGTATAACATAGCAACCCTTTCTTGTCAGATTGTCCTCAATGTACATGCCAACGGCTGCTAATGGGGATCGCAGCGTGGGCATTAACTAAAAGCCGAATGCTCCTGTCTCTCATGCACCATAAGCAGCCATTGGTATGTACATTAAGCACTATTTTTATTGTTTAACAACGCACAGAAGAAATCTCTCACCGGTACCACCTTGCAGGCCAAAACGTTGTATTTGTTACATACTACAACGGCTACGAGGGACGAACGGGTGCTGCTGTAAGGAGTTTCGCCCCTAAAAGACGAACGAAGAGGGTAGACACATATAGGTGTTTTCACCGAGGAGCAGTGCTCACGCCACAACGCTGAGAGCCACGATTATTCTATCAGGATTAACGCCCAGGCTATGCACGCAGACATGAAGACATAAACGTTACATCATCACGTGGTTATAATTTCATGCATTCAGTTTCGCCATGCTCACGACTTACCACTCACAGCCGCGTTGCCGTTATCATACAAGCACCCCTAGTGAAAACTAGTACGTATACTTATCGGCAAAATGTAATAGAAGCGAAACGAGCTGCACGAAAGTGCTGCGTGTGCACTGTTGTTGCCTTTGAGAGTGAAATTTCCAGTCTGCAGGTGGAACAAAAGAATCTTCCTGAAACAGGACAAATACCCACAAACACCCTTGTGGGAGGTGTGATGTTGAGTTGGCAAAAACATAGCGTGACAATTTGTGTCGCTGTGCTGTTGGCATGGTGACTGAGTGCCGGCACTGAAGCGCACGCATGCGTTGTTTCTTTGACACTCACGCCTGGTATTGCAAATGAGTTTGCGACGTTATGCGTGAGCTTGTGACCGTTTTTCAGAACATTGCTTTCGTATGCTACGCACTGTATGTGTGTCATGCGAACTTGCAGCACACTCGTCTTCCCGAGAGGCCATGTTGCATAGCACCCCAGGAGTCCTTGTCAGTGCAGACCTTGCTTGGTCGAATTGTTTTAAATGCTTTCTGTTTTTTATTATTCATGCGATGATTGTTTGTATAATCGGCTGCCTCTATGAGCGTACTGTGGCCATCTAGTATGAGAGCACCAAAATGCCTTTCAACTACATCAGCGAGAAGGGGTGCCTTGGCAATAGATGAACATTTTCAGCGTTGAAATCAAAGCAGTGCCTCCAGTGACAAGCTGAAAGATAAATAATGCACCCACTGTGACTCGTGGACACAAAGCACAAGCGACTACAATGAATCACGGGTAACTTTTACTTAATGCCAGTGTTCGATTAGAATATTGTTGTATGGCGTTGTGTGAAGTCCATACTGATTTGTGTTTACTTGAAAAACACTGAATGCATTCGTTTTGAACTGATTATCTTAGCGCATTAAAGGGGCCCAAGAAGCCTTCTTGACATTTGCGGTTGTATTGTGTGTGACTAAACACTCTGTGGCCACGCGCTAGTGACGCCGCTTTAACTTTGTTACGACTATGTGCCTCTCGGTTTTCATCAGCGACGCAGGTGAAAGAAGACTACAGAGAGGCGCTGGTCAAGGGGCTTCCGTTCCCCATCCTAACTATAGCGGAGTACTTCAGCCAGGATATGGATGGATTCTGCTGGGGCCGCCGCTACCGCCTCGCTGGTCACTACGCTTTCATCATGCTATGGTATGTTTCTCATTTTGAGACAGCTCTTGCTACACAAAATTGGTCTATGATCCTAAACATCGGAGAGAGCATGACCGCACTCGCGCGGTGCAGGAAAACATCGGTCGATGGATGAAAAACGAAGTAAAATTGACCGGCTTGTTCGAGAATGGCCTTGCTGTGCCTGTTGTAAAAGCCCGTGCGTTTATAAGCAGTGTCTGCGTCCCTCGAAATCCAGTGACTGTAGCACCGAACCCATGGCCTTCGAATCACGCGCCCGATTGCATGTAGGTACTTCTAAGATTATGATCTAGTAGTCTATACAGCTGTAATTTATGTCTTTCTTAAGCAGCATATTATGGGCCTTATATTTTGTTTCCGGATGACAATTGCATTATCATGTTTATTTTCTAAACAGTGTAACAAGTTTGTTTTCATTCTGCAGTTCATATGTGTATTAAATCACAACTACAGTATGTACACCTTGTTGTGGCACACTGCACGTGAGACCCTATGTCACCTTCTTTATTGTGGTGCTTCTTCTGCCCCAACTTTTTAATTCATATTTTGTTTGTGCTACCATGTTTTTTTGTATGAGTCTGTGAACTGGTCCAGCTGTTTTAAAACACAGCTTTTTTCACAGTCCTTTCTTTCTGTACGACAGAATGAAAATTAAACTTTGATTTGCCTTGATGCTCCACCACTGAGCTACGACGGCGGTCATGCCTCCGCCCATATTAGAGGGTATGTAAGTGCAATAACTGGGGCAGCGTCAGTCAGAGCTGATTGTTGTACTAGGGCGAGCGTGGAACACCTTTCATTTTGCCTGTTGGCACCACGTAGCACGTGATCCTGTTAAGACGTGGCAACTGACCAATGATGTCCAGCATATTACTTGAAGGCATCAAGTCTGCCGGAACAAGATATAGCGAGGGTTCATTCTGGCTAACTTGTCGTATTCAGGTGGTATGCAAGAGTGAATGAATGAATGAATGAATGATCTTTTTTGCACTCATATCTTATGCAAAATAAGCACAAACTGTATGGTCTCATAGCCAAAGGCTAGTGCGGGTCCCATTGAAAGTACACATAAGTGAAACTGTAATAGTTCTAATTAAAAATAAACAGAAGTAAACAATTCAGATGATTGGTCAGCTGCCAGCTTGTATTTGAATCCCGAGTTAGGTGACGCTAACAGGCACAATAAAAAGTGTTCCACGCTTGCCCTAATGACAACAAGCAGCGCTCACTGACACTTTCACATTTATTGCACGTATATACCATATAATGTGCCCAGAGGGAAGACAGCAGCAGTATCTTGGTACTGGACCAACGGATTGGTAATTCGAAGGTCGCAGGTTCACTCCCTACTGGCGGTAGGTTATCTTTGCGTCCACTTTTTTTATACAATCACTTCTAACATCGATCTCTGTACTTTCGTTCTTATCTTTGTCCGTTAATTGTCACGAATACCGCGTCTAACAGAAAAACGAGTGCACCTTTTGGCACTTCTTTCTTTTATCCGTCCGTATGTGGCAAAAAGCAACGAGGCTAACCAGTCCACGTTTGGGAATGTAGCTGCTTTCTGGTGACGAAAAATTAACCCTGCTTCCGAACTCGAACACTGGACCTATGCTTTACTGGAAAAGTCGCTCTACAATGGACGTGACCAGGTGGCTGAGAAACCGGCAGCATGACGATGCATCGATCAACGGTAATATCACTAAAAGAGCGCAACAAACGGGCGCTAGACTGAAACCCTACGCAAGGACAATTTTTGCTTTAAAGGAGGAGCTTCCTGTTAACAGAAATCTATATATACATATTTCCATGTAGCTTTCTTTCGCAGACAGGTGACTGACGACTTCTCTCTTTGAATATCTGTGCTTCGCAGGATTCCGTTGGACTGGTTTAGAACGTTCAGTATCATATCAATATATCCTTTTTGTGACATCATGCCATAATACCATTTAGCGCGACCTATAAATCTTTCAGCACATACCCATGGAATTGAACACCACCACAACGTTCATATCACATTTACTTTTTATTGATATCGTGTACACTGAAGGCGCCTTCACGATGGCACTGCTACAATAACTAACATACACCGTTTATGAATAACAGTTCTTACCGTTCAATGTAAAATATACGTTCCCATTAGATGTACACTATTATTTCAATGTTCGTCATTACGCTGCCTATATTATATATTAGGTAGTTTTACTTTGCCAGACAGTCAGTTTTCATGTTGTATTTCTTCTCTTATATTTTTACCACTCTCAGGGAGTCCATGTGCCCCTAAGCGTAAAAAAAAAGAAACAAAATAGAGAACGATTCGGCCGTAAACGTCGAAAAGCGAAGCTGTACGAGAGTGAGTGCGTGTGATAGGCTAGTGAGATCACGTGGTGCGGTAGATCCACGGCTAGAATACAAACACCTGGTTGGTCAAAGCGAGGTTACCTGACCTCGCGGTAAAGGCTGCCGCGCTTCAGGTCTTGTTCTTACAAGATCATAAAGTGGGCAAAATGTGTACAGTATTCACGGTTTACCAGGTCATCTCCGGAGCTCCGCCCACTCATCATTCAGCCCGTGGACAGACAGACAGACAGACGGACGAAAGGACAGACGGACGGACAGACAGACAGACAGACAGACAGACAGACAAACAGACAGACGGACGGACAGACAGACAAAAAACTGTAATATATACTGATGAGCTTTCGCGTGAACCCCCATGGAGACCCACGGGAACCGCTGACCGCGATCAAGTCGGGGCTGGGACACCGTGATGTTCCGCCCTTTCTTGGATCTTTTAAGTGTGAATACACTTTATAAGCGACCCCAAACCATCCACCGCCGTAGGCGGCGTCCGCAGTCTTCTCTCTATCTTTAAAAGAAAGAGGACTTGGCGGGCTGCAGCGCGACGCTCTACCGAATAAGCCACGGACGCGACGCTGATATCGGTGTCAGTAACGCGCCTTATACCCCCTCCCCCTTCGCTCACTCCTCTGCTCTCCTCGCTCACTGCAGCTGCGCGCGCACCCCTCTCTCTCGCGCGCCCGCCTTCTCTCTCAGTCTTCCGTCGAGAGCGGGTCGTGCGATGGATGTCCCGGAGGCAACGCTACCATCAACAACGAATGCAGTACAACCGAATGCCAGCACTGCACCCGTCGTTGGAGGTGATGGTACCGCGGTGGTTTCGCCGACGTTGGAAGACAAGGTGGCGCTGCGAAGGGCTCGTGAGACCGAACGTAAGCGGGCGAAGCGTGCAGAGGATGCCGAACTTCGCGCTCGCGAGGCCGAGGACAAGCGGGCGAAACGTGCAGCGGATGGTGAACTGCGCGCTCGCGAGGCCGAGATGAGGCGTCAGCATCGAGCCGCGAACGCGGCCCAAGAAGCGGAACGACAACGCAAGCGTCAGGCGGAGAAGGGCGATGAAGGCCGGCGTCAAGACGCCGCTCGCAATCGTCAACGGCGAGTGGACGTTCCCGAAGCCATTCGAGCCAGTGAACGTGCCGCGCGGGAGAGGGTGCGAGCCCTGGACTTTTCTCGTCCGGACGCGTCGGGAAGTGTAAATAAATAATACTTCGTATATAATGTATCTGTGTACAAATGCTTCATGACAAACAACACTTAAATTCATTAATTACACTTTAATCATCATCATCAGTAATAAAACTCCCACGCATTTCGCCGAGGGTGAACATGGTTAAGTGCGAATGCACGGGGTGGTGCTATGATAGGGAGTAAAGTTAAAATCCGTTGGCATTCGCCAGTGAGTTAACGTAAACTCCCCCGTGTGATCAAATTGCGATTCCCAGGAACCATTACACCATAAAGGCACCATAGTGTGATTCATAAATATAATAGTGCGAATTAATAAATAGACGACATAGCACCACCCCCTGCATTCGCACTTAACCATGTTCACCCTCGGGGAAATGCTTGGTAATTTTTTTAATTGGCTGCAGTTGCGTATGAAGTGATGAGCTCCGGAAGGCCGCTTCTCAGTCAGCTTCATAGGACAGAGGGCCATTAGGTAGCGCGAGACATTGCCAAAACATGTGCGCAAAGGAACAATAAGCTTCAGTGCAGCGAAGTGTTGCGGAATGCGCACCTCCATTTCATTCTAGTTTCATTCCGATGAATATGAACTTGCCGTAATTCTATTCTTTTCATTTCCTCGGAATGAAAAAACACCCCGTTCCCACTCCGGGAATGGCCAGGTAGGTCGATTCCATTCCTACAATTCCTCAACGTAGGACAGGCATACTTTGATAGCTTTCACGAGCTGGGATTGCAACAACACAAAATTGATTTCGTCAGATGCATAATGACTGCAAAACTACGCTAAATACGTAACCACGGTTGAGGGAGAGTACCTTGCTGACCTATCTCCTGCATTACTACAACACTACTAGTTCTCATAGGGACAGTTCTTCCGCTACCTATGGTATTGGCATGGTCAGTACACGCTTAAAAAGTTAGTAAATAGTTGCGAACGCATGCAATTAGATTTTTTGAGCGTATTTTACTACCCTCGCCGCATCTCCTTTACTATAGCCAGCAGCTAACAAAGCTTGAAACTTTTGCCGTTATTAACCAGGAATGCTTCCTTGGTCTTTCTATTTAGGTAACAACTAAGCCAAATACGTTTGCAGATCTCTCGTAAGCACCACCGTATTTCTTGCAGTATTTGTGACACTTTTAAGAAACATTTAGACCAGTCTTAATTTTGTCGAATACTTCAGAATATAAATTCGTTCTAAGGGATGACACGCGTCCTTTGTGTGTATGTCCACGTCTGTGATTCCTTCATGCCCTATGTATGTTGCGCGATGTGTGCTTGTCATTTAGTCGCATGAAGTAATTAGTGGCCCTTAATTATTCTACGTGGACAAGTGCACTTTGCTTATTATTCAATATATACTTCTGTAATAAATGACTTGATGTGGCATTGCACATGCACATATAAATGCCAAATAACTGAAAATTCACTAATTCATTATTAATTCGAG